CAGTTAACATAATTTTAGAGCTTTAATAAAGCCATTCTAATGTTTTGATAAACAAAGCTAAGGATCCCTTACTATAATAGGCCATTAGATAGCTTTAGGGCACTTAAGGGTCAGCAATAGCGAAAGAAAATAATCTGTAACATTCAGACCAATAGATTTCTTGGCATAAAATTTGGCTGGAACTCAATCACAGCTATTAGGTAAAGGACCTAATTAGGTCACTTACAACTACTGGACAGTGCAGGCTTTTGCCTTTAAAATTTAATCTCAGTACTTCTAGTAATCACTGATGTACCACCCTGAACAACCTCTCTTGTGCCTTGTTCTTTGGATTTGTCATCTACGTACATTATACATAGCACCTAAGTAGGCTGTCACCTATGAAAGCTCAGGCTTCTCTGAACTGTTAGTCTCAAAGTACCACCTTGTTCTGCCTTCTAACTTCAGACTAACATGGCTACCTACTTCTCTTTACTGTATGCAAAATGTACCTTATGAAGAGATTAAAAATACTGTTTTTACTTTAATGTAAAATGAGATTCCCCCCATTCAACACAGAGGGGAAACCTCTGCAACTTGTATTTGAGTACACGGCGGGGGGGGGGAGGCAGGCAGCTGCTCTGGCTTCGTCTCCATCCCTGACACAGGCTTAGAATCGGAGGCACAGCCCTGTCCGCCCCCACCTCTACCCCATGCCCCACCCCACCCCCTTGCCTCTCCCCATTTGCTTCCAAGCTCTGAGCATTCTCTTGCATGCAATTAAACAATTACACAATTTGTATAACAACTTCTCGTTTGGCTTAATCCAAGGCCCCAAATTACTTTCTGTTTTGAACTGACACCTAAAACCAAAACTGTTTCATCAAGAAATTCAAATCACTGGAGGACGGCAAAAGGTCAAAAACTGAAAAGAAAACAGGGATAACCTAAGGGGAAACATACACTACAATAACCTGTAAAACCCTGGTAAAAACATGCCCTACTGGGATGAGTCAGTTATACCTTAGTTTATCCTTACAAAACAAGAGGAACAAAGGCACGCATACAGAAGAACTTACTTCCCTGCAGTGACATGCAGAATCCTCTCTGGAAAGGCTGAAAAGTAATACCCTGGAATGTCAAGAGAACACAATAGGAATAACACAAATATAACATAGCCTGAAGTTACTCACGGAAACTAATTTGTTTAATAATGAATCACATTCCAAAGTTTACAGAGGTAAAAATAAGACACTTATATATATTTTATTTTAAAATGTGCCTTAAATTTAGGACATGAAACTAGATGCATCATGAAGTTATTTACTGGACACTCAAACTGCACACAACACAAACCTGGTGCTTAAATGGCTCTCCGGCTTCACAGCACTCTATTTCCTCCTTTGGATATTTTAGATAGCAATACATTGGACAAAATGGCACTTTACAGCAGTGAAAATGGTCTGCTTATCAGATAAATAGTGGGTAGATCTCAGAAGGCCAACACAACCTCCATAAAAGGGTAACAATGCATTGAAATGTGGCAAAATAAATATTGGTATGTTCTTTCCAAGCAGATAACCTTTCTTTGTGCATCAATCATTTGTTGACAAAAAAAAGCGTTTGCCAAAAAAGTGTTTGCCAATATTCCTTCAGTTACAGAGCAGTGATTCTCAATCACAGTGCTGCTCAGCCCTTCTAAGGGTGCCTCAGTGCTCAGTTTCCGTGCCAGAAGATAAGCAAATCACTTCTCTTCTTATCCAGCAATAGGCACCCCAGGATACTTCAGCCAAGTGACACCCATGGCTACTTCTGCCATCCAGCAGCCCCTGTCCCAGCCACTCCTGCTTTTCCAACAGCACTTTCTACTGTGTGCATGCAGATGTACAGGCAGACATGGGGCTGTATTCATCCCAACTCATCCCCTTACTGCCCCAAAGCTCCTGGAGATGATGGGATGAGCCGTGGATGCATGTGGTTCTGGTTGGTGGCATGCGAGTTGCCAGAGGAGCAGCTGTAGTGGCCAGGGCTGCACTTGCCCCTTCAGGTACAGACCAGAGACCAGGGAGGGAACAGACTGTGGAAAAAAGCATGGCTTGGTAGGATAAGGGCCTGCCCCCCACCATGCTCACCTGACACCACCTAGCTTTTGGCTTAGTGTTTCTCAATGGGGCGTCGCTAAATTCCACAAAAGTTATGGAGGGGTGCAACTAAGAAGGTTGAGAACCACTACAATAAAGGCAAGAGAGTGAGCTGAAGTCTGGCTATGGTTTCTTGCTATGTAAACCCACTAACATTAATGAAGTTGTAAAGGTATAAGCAAAAGACAGTTTAAAGATTGTTCAGGTTTGCCTGATTTCACTAGTAGAATCATAGGAATGGAAGGGACCTCAAGGGTCATATTGGTCAATCCTCCCACAAATGTGAGCATGCCACCCCTAAAGTTACCCTCGTCCAATGCCTATCAACATTGGCGATGCGTATGGGTGCACGTGGGTGCATGTGTGCCCCCAAGATTGGTGGTGCACCCCCTGAAAGAAGCGCTGCCACTCACCACCACCCCCTTCCTCCCGGCTGCCAACATCGCTGCAGCCTCCTGCAGGAGTTCCCCACTCACTGTCGACATGCCTCTGCTGCCGCCACCATCTGCAGGTGGTTGCCATGTCCCCCCAGCCTCCAGGGGCACGTGTCATTCATGCCCATCAACCCCCCTCTTGACAATCTCCAATGAAAGATTTCACAGCTTCCATGAGCAGGCTATTCCATTCTACTGTCCCACTGTTCTATACAAAGCATATGATGAAGTAGGTTGTTGCCTATGAAAGTTCACGCCTCTTTGAACAGATTAGTCTTTAAGGCTAGGGACAGACATTCAAAAAGTCTGAGCCTGAACTGATTCAATCTCTGCAGGTTAGTCTAACCAGCCTAGGCTAAATCACTTTTGTAACCAGATAGACATCCCAAAAATGCAGACATATGCTTGCAGTGGCTCAGGCTAGAAGCAAGCGGGGGACGGGATGCTAGAGCAGCCCTCCCTCCTTCCCTTGCACAGAGATGAGCTGAGGGGCCTGTAGCCAGGCCCAGAAGGAAGCTGTGATTAGGGAGGGATCCCCCCCACTCCTGAACAGCCCAGCAGGGAATGTTTGTCACGTCTAACTCAGTGTTTATCACCCCATTAAGAAAACAGAGACATGTTACCAGCTATCTGTTGATTCCGCCTTTGTCCTGTGTGCCACAGCTCAGCAGTAGCCAGCATGTGGTCTGCTAGCTAATGCTGAGAGGTGTCTGTGTGGGACAGGGGAATGCCTGCTTAGCAGACAGTAGGAGGGGAGGGGGGGAGCAGAAGCCAAGCAGATGCTTACACAGACTGCCAAGCTGCAGCCAGGGAGCAGAGGGGAGGGGGCAGTCCTGCTCAGCCTAGACAGCATGTTGGGGTGTCTGGTTCAGCTTAAACCAGCAATGGGTCTGGAACAGATATTGCCTAAACCATTTTGACCCAAATCAGTCAAGTCTGATACTACATTCAACCAGGTTTTTCACAAACTGGTTTATGTGCACTGAACAGCTGTTCCGTTACAGGTTTAAACCAGTCCCTGATCACTTAAACGGGTTTGTGTAATGTCCGTCCCTATCCTAAAGGTACCACACTGCTCTATTTTCTGTCATTGTTCTAGCAGTAAGGAAGTTTTTCCTGGTATCTAATCTAAATCCACTTTGCTGCAATTTATAGCCACTGCTTCAAAGTCCTACCATCTCTGGCACTTGTACTCCCTCTTATATATGGCAGGTTTTCAGATATTTGAAGACTATTACATCTCCCTCTTAAATCACCTTCCCTTCAAACTGAACATGCCTGAATCTCTCAATCTTTCCTCCTATGGCTTGCCTTCCATCCCCATTCTCATTCTGTTTGCCCACCACTAGACCCTTTCTAATTTCTCCACATCTTTCTTAAAACAAACCCAAAACTGTACACATTATTCAAGCTGAGGCCTATGAACTAAGGAAAAACCTGCAGTCCAACTTTAAATGAAAGCTTACAAGGATGCATTGAGAAATAAAACATATCACTTGTCAAATAACCATATTTGATATGAAGATCAATGAAACACCAATAAGCATCAACATACCCATTTTTAGTGTCACATTTCAGAGTATTTTATTGCTAACGGAAGCTGAGCAATTAGGCATTCCGGAGAACTCGGATACAATTTTCCCATGTCCTATAAGACAATGTCTTACACAAAAGAGAAAACAAGTATGAAGCTGGTTCTCTTGTACTAGTGAGTCCTTTCATCCTTTCAGTGTTATGATTAAAACTGAAAATGAACAAACAAGGACATCTAAAGATTACTTATGTGAGAGAGACTATCACCATAACAAAGACATTTTTGCAAGCAATATACTTATTTTGTGTTCTCTAGTACAGTGTCAAAGTTCTTGGTTTGGAATGGCTATTTCTACATTAGTTAGTTAGATTACATGGTATCACGGCCATGTTTTTGATGGTGTGGCATAGTGAAAACTAAAGATCTGTAAAATCTTTGGATTTCTGGAAAAGACAGCAGAAGGACTTTTTGTGGAATGAGGCATTCAACATATTTAGAGCTTTTGTTTTCACCCTTTATGTTTAGTTTTTCTGATAAAAATGCAAATAATGTAAAGCAAACAAGTTACTTTTCAACGTGGCAGGAACTATAGCATATAGCAAAATTCTGTTTGCAAGCCATAATTAAAATTTTGAATACAAAATGCCTGTGATTTAAAGTTCCTTATGACAATTTATATTTTGGGCAAGAGAAGCACGGGGTGATCAACACAGAGGCTTAACAATTAAAATACAGAGGAAATGTGAAAAACAACAGACGTATCACAAACCCTCATGCAGAGGCTCAGAATATGATGAATTATTGGAAACTCCTCTTTTCAGCCTAATGCCTCCTAACCATTGTATTCAAACTAGATTAACCATCCCTTCCCCACTTTTCAGATTCCTCTACTGAATCTTCTGTTATCACTACCTGAAGTTCAAAGCCTTCAAGGTCATTCACAACTCTCCTCTTCTTCCTCTTATCTGCGCTTATTGCAACCAGCTCCATCTCCGTTTTGCCCATAATGCTAGCTTTATCATTCTGTTTAGTTCATAGAGCAAATGGATATCTGAGTTCTTATATACCACCCTTACAAATAAGTTACTATTTTCAACCCGATTTAAAAAACCCCCTACAATATAGACATCTGTCTGTCTCACAAGACAACAGATTTGTACTAAGTAAGGCATCAACTCATGAAATATTTGTGAGAGTGCCTGGACAGCTCAGTTCTAGTGACAGTCCCTTCTGTACTTCACACGTGAAGTTTGATTTCTAAGGCAGTTTTTACATGTGCTCTGGAAGAGGCCAGTTGCTTTACATAGAGCAGCTCCGAGAACCGCTTTAACTAAACTGCCCACAGCCTCTCGTGGATCAGCATCCCCACGCTTCAAAATGGCAGTGGGGTACTTTAAAGTATTGAACAAGCTTTAAAGCGCCCCTACCGCCATTTAGAAGTGCAGGGATCCTAATATACAATATGTTGAGGCTGCTGGAGGCTCGCTAATTAGCACACTCCAGCAAACTCAATTAATCAAGATTAATCCATCAGATTAGCTGGAGTCTGCTCTGACATGCTGTAATTACAGGACATTGGAACGCCTCCCTGCACATCAACAGGCACCTTCAAAATCCTGAATGTGGTGTGGTGTTCTCCCTGAGGTTTCTTTTTTCTTGTGCATGTTAGGCTCTTCTTTCTTCAAAAGCCTTCATTTGATGCTTAATAAAGTGTTTTCAAGTGCTTCAATCCTCAGCAGTCTTCTCCCGAATGTTTGGCTCAATGTTCATTGCCTTCACATCTTTCTTGCAAACATCTCTGAAACAGAGACAAGGATGCCTGTGTGGTCTTCCCATAAAGAACTCTCCATACAAGAGAACATTGGGTATATAGCCATTGTACAGTCTCTGCACGTGACCTAGCCATTTGAAGTCAATGCTGGCTGACAAGAGAAAGGACACTTGGATGCCAGCATATTCCAAGCCCTCAGCATCGGCAACCTTGTTCCACCAGGAAATTTCTAAAATGCAGCAAGGGCAACATAAGGGAAAGCTGTTGAGGGGCTTCTCTTATAATCCTATCCTTATTCAAATGACAGGCCCTTACCTACCATCCAAGAGTATAATATGGAAACACCACACATTCTTCTCCCCACTCCCCCAAACACCTTCTATTACACTCATTTTATAGATATGAAACTGAAACAGTTGAGCAACTTGATCAACACTGCACAGGAACTCTGTGGTGGATCACAAATTTGAATCCCGGCCTGGCAACTTCTAGGCTAGTGCCCAAGGCAGGGCAATCCTCTACTCTCTCAAGCCCCACCAGGCAAAATATTTCAATAAAATTAGCCAATTAATAATGGCTAGTCTAATGGTAAGATGGCATTAGTTTGCATAACATTTATATTGAATAGAGTATACAGGCAACCCCCACTTAGCGCTTTTAATTGGTTCCTGAAAAAATGAGCGTTAAGTGAAACTGAAAGTATCTGACAACCCAAGATGGCGACCACAACTGTTTTTAATGACCCAGGATGGTGACTGTGAGCGTTATAGTGAAATTCACTGAGCGCTAAGTGAAATCATGTATCAATTTAAAATGAGTGTTATAGTGAAAAAGTGCTGAACAAAACAGCGTTAATGAATATATACATGAATATATGTACAGTAAAAGCTTTGTTATCTGGCACCCACGGGGAATGGAGGGTGCCGGATAACAAAATATGCCGGATAACTGAGCGGCCCGAACAGGTATCTTTGCCTATTCAGGCTGCCACCTGTCCCGCCACATCGGGGTGTCACTGCCTCTCCTGCGGGGGTGGGCCCCGAGGGACAGGGAGGGGGTGACTCGCACAGGCTGCTATGCCCCGGGCTGTGGGGGCTTGGTAGCACAGGTTGCTTTCCCCTGGGCTGTGGGGGCTCTGTGAAACCAGAAGAGCCACGGTGGGCACTTCTGTTTTCACTTTTCCCTTATAAGCCAGTATGCCAGTTAACAGAGCATTCTGGCTTGTAAGTTGCTGGTTAACAAAGCTTTTGCTGTATACATGAATGTATTTACTTAGAGTTCACTTCCTACCATCTTTCTTACGTTCCTTGTCTACTTCAACTCCCAAATGTTAGGGACAGGTGCTATGTAATCATTGTGTTTGCAGTCATGAGATTAATATGTCTTCTATAAATCTTGGGACCTTCAAACTACTGTGGAAATACAAATACTTGACCAAAGAAGGAATCTAATTTTTTAACATTTACTGGATTTTCTTCCCCCAAAAGAACACATCATATTTTTAAGTTTATACTCATACAATTGATTCTGAAAACTCTAGCTTTTGGTTATCAATTTACACGGATCCTGGTAACAAAAAAACAGCAAACATGATGAGCAAATAGTAACTAAAATCAGCATGAGGCATACAGTTAGAACATAAATTTTAGCAGTTTGCTTCAGAAGTGGACAGTTATCAATAATACCATTCTTTTCACTGACTCTTACTGGCAGTACTGAATGATGCAAGAACTTCAGGTTTTGCTGGTAGGGGCAATAATCCTACATGGAAAGAGTCTGAAGGCAAACAATGGTTCCTCACACACCAGGAGTCACAGGCTGAAAAAGCTGCAGGAGATGTTTCCTTCCACAGCTGCTTTGTGTCCTTAAGCAACTCCTCCCCTCCCCACAGCAGCATTCTACAATTCCTACTTAGAAGAAGAGGTCAGTCCAAAAAAGGACCTCTGAAAAAGAATTTTGAAAAAAAAAGTTTGAAAATATAAGCATTTTTCTGTTCCTCATGCTTCACATTCAGGGGTGGGGAGAAAATAATAAAATGTTTTATGTTCACTTAAGGCACCTGTACACACCATGGGTTTCGAGCCTCATTAAATTAAATAGGTGTATAAAAGTTGAACTTGTTTATTTTGGAGCGTTGCATCAGTGTTTGCACACATTAGGTTTTCGAACGAATTAAGCCCAGTCTCTGGGTGGCACTGCAGGAAAGCAGGATGGTCCAACACTGCCCCCCTGCCCAGGGCCCCCCATCCTGTACGGAGCTGGGAAACCACACAAGGAGAAAAAAAGCAGAAGCAATTTGAAAGCAAAAGCAATTCAAAAAGTCACAGCCATCTGGTGGACACAGAGGCTCATTACACGTCTGAATGCCTTTTTGTTTGCACGCAACAAATCCATGGACACAATGCTTTAATTCCTGGCGAGCCAAACTAAACTATGTTTGAGGAGCTTTACTTTAATGCACGAGAAAGACTTTTAAAGCATCCAGAAATCCCGCTTGTGCAAACAGATGCAGTTGCAATGCATATGAAAGGACAAAAAATGTGGCACGTACAAAGGCCCATAGGCCCTACTTTTTAAATTTTTGTCAAAATCTTAGTCTCTCAACAAATCAATGCCAAGTCTCACTTCCTTCAATGAGGCTAAGATTTCCTATGCAGGTCCTCCACTTTAAAAAGCTGAATAGTCTCAATGAAGCCAGCCTTCTCCAGCAATGTATTTGGGCTCTCACAGCAAATGCATTCAGGGCTACTGACAGCTGCGTACTGTGCAAGTTTGCAAGCCTGGGTACATGTGGAACTTCTACCTTAGTGGCATGCTCTATCTTGTGCAAGAGGTGATGCACCCCTGTATCCTCTGCCCTTTAATAACTATCAAACTTCCCAACACATATTTCTATTATTAAAGGCTCACTTTATTTCAAGTAAGAAACTGCCATTTTTCTAACCTGAGCTTTAAAAAATGATCTAACATCAATAATACTTCAGCATTTGCCATCATACTTGGCAAAAAATGAAGTTAACAGCCACTGTTTTTTTCATTGCTAACAGTGATATTGGAATTATGCAAGGCAAGGATTTTTACAAGTGATATCTTTTATTGGATCAACTGTGTAGTTGGGATAAGTTAGATAAGCTTTCAAGTGCAAAGCAGAAGACTTGCTATCATTTATACATATACTACATCAAAAATATTTTAAGCAAGTATAAAATAAGCCTGAATTTTACAAAAAAGTACAAGGATTTCAGTGGACTCCAAACACTTGATTACTTAGGCTGCTTTGAAATTTGTTTTAAATATTTGCCACTGATATGTTTGTTACATTTCAAGAAAATATTTACCTGCAAGTGCTGCATTGTTGTTTCCATACAGCATCTACCAAGATGCAGTTAATTCTAAAAAAAAACAAACACTTTTGCTCTGTTGAAATAATAGACCAGTCTACTAAAAGTAGGTGAATTTCTTATTATATATTTCTCTTGTAAAAACAGAGTATCCAAACTTATACTGGTTTGCACTAGACATGAAACTAAAACTTCAAGCACTAAGAATTCAGGTGATTTTTTACTTTTTTAAAAATCTTTGTCCAAGTCATTATTTTGTCCCCTTCACTTTAATATTGGAATATTTTACTTTTTAGGGATGCCCCATAGTAACCAAAACTCCTCTCATACCTTTTCAAAAGTTAAAAGATACCACCTCAAAATTGCCACCTACATTCACAGCGTCTAATCTATTGTTTAATATCTGTAACTCAATTCCACCTCCTCAGTGAAACAAACCCCAAATACTTTCGCCCTCCCAAATGCTATCTGTGCTCACCCTCCAAGACTACTGTAGCAATGTTAACTAAAAAGGAACAGTAAATAAGTATGGACAGTGAGAAAGAATATAAGAAACAGCTCATTATAATTTTAACACATAGCACAAGAAACAATTTTTATAAACTTCATTATCCCAAGAGAGCTCTAAAGATTACTGTACTTGGTAGTTTCAAAGGTTACACAATGACATTATTCATACTTGTGCTCCTCATGTTTTCCACCATGTAAAAGTTTTTAAAGGATGCAACACAAAGTTCTGAAGCAAAAACCATATATTATTCGGATAGCTATATGATGACTACATGATGTTGCTACATAAATGCTGATCCACTCACAAAATGAGTTGAGTTACTGTAACAGTGACTAATAAAGAAAATATTTCTCCTCTTTTGTGGAATTCAGACTACATTATT